CCATTGTCAAGATCTTCCAAGCCAAAGAGAGAAAAATCTCATCAATCCGGTCTAATTTAAATACAATGAAACTTCAGCATGATGTACCTCCAAGAGACACACAAAGCTGTACACTGTACTTTATACTTTATGGCTGATGTTCTTGTAACCGAATGGGCCCTAGTAACATACACTATGATCCGACACACCACGATACACAACAACCGACCGTTCCTTCTTCATTCTAAGATTCTGTTGAGTACGAAAAGTGTACGGTACTACTTCAGGTATAATTATGTGACGAAAAAGATACAGTGACAGAAAAGCCTAGCAAAGCAATGCAAGGCACGTCGGTTCGGCTGCACGATTCCAGTTGCAAGCTAGTGCAAACATACATGTCGCCAATGTTGGGCGGAAACCAAACACCACAACATATCCAGAAACCCTACTTGGTCACACCTACATACAATCATGAGTCCATACCTATGCACGTGTCTTGTTTGTTATGTTAGCAACCTAGAATGAATTGACCACATGGATTTGCTCACATTCTCTGTAATCTCTATAAGGTAAGGGGCCATCCGGCATAATCGATTCTTTCACGGAACGAAAAGAGTTTAGTTAACCAGCTTGAGACTTGATTTTTCGTTCGAGCGCCATAACTCCGCTCCAGGACCGACCTCGGATCGCGTTCGGGTTTTTTCGAGACGACAGCTGAGAGTTTTCTAATGCCGATAGACCTTTCGATGAGGCGATTCGGTCAAGTATTCGCAAAGTTACGAAAGTTTGAAGTCGCCCGGTAAACTCTGCATACAGGGTTAACGAATATTCGCCATGAGAACTATTCGTACGAATGTGATAAACGGAACGAATTTCCAAATATTCGATATATTCATTTTACCATTAGTTTTTGCTGAACGCAGACCACATACATAGCTACTAATCAGTGCATATCATTATCAAGAATCTCTTACTTGTCAACAGGCCTGTCCACCATAGCCATTCCCTCAAATAAGCGTAACCGCCGCTTCCTGCACACCATAGGCAACAGGACACGCAAGGAGAAGTCAATGTTGAGACGAGAAAGTGTGCGTGCGCGCGTGTGTGTGTGTGTGGGCGCATGCACATGTATTGCTCTGAGTGCTGGGTGCCACCAAGAGTATATGACAACCAGAGTGTGCAGCTCGGATGGGTTGCTGTCACGGCGGAATTCCGTGATTACATCATTTTAGTGATGTAGTGCGTACAAGCAGGATTCAAGCGGGTCTCTTTCTGCACAACTGCAGCTCAGTTGTACCCACTACGCCATTTCCCGCCTCAGATCTGCGCCAAATACGATGTAATCACGGAATTCCGCCGTGACAGACACCCATAGCAGAAAAGGCCCCAAGCTGCACACTCTGGTTTTCATGTACTCTTGGTACCACTGAGTAGCCTAATAGTGTTATGAGTCGCTCGATATTTGGTACCCCATCTTCCTCTGAATGGACTGAAGGGCCAAGGGGTGCTTCCAAGACATGTTTGGAATTCATAATGGTATTATTTATAAGTTTTGAGGAGCTGAATGATTTAAATTTAATTTTATTAATTGTAGGACTGACAGAGATTACAAAGCAAGGTCGCAGATGTAAGCCATAGCTGAAACAGGACGGCGATAAATTTACTATTCGCCACAAACATTAGACAGTGGACGTACCGGCACGTCCGTCTGAAGAGCGACCGACTCGCAGCAAACCTTTCTTCTTGATGATGAAGCTCGCCCCGATGAAAGCACTGGAGCTTACAGCCAGAGCGACGCCTTTGTAAAAATCGGTCGGTCCTGATGCTCCAGTTGCAGGCGTAACGACGAGCTGTCCAGGCATACTTGTACTAATATCTACAGGAGCATCGGAACACAATACTGTCAATAGGAGGACATTATTCGCTTTCCTGGTACAAACAGAAATTTGAACTGATTTCTCAGTCGACGCTGAGAATCTTCAGCTTACTATTGACAACAGCAGCGGCGGTAGCAGTTGTAGCCAAGTCATTCCGCGAAAACCTCCCCAGCCCCATGACAGAAAGGTGGCTCGGAGTGGCCTGAACGAACTCTTCTAACCGGCATTACATGTAAGCACTTCGCAAAATAATTAGCAACATGAACTGAGTAGTCTCTTCGATCTGGATGGAATCGTCTTTGTTCATTTCCCCTTCGAGCCTCAGTACTGTTTGTGCACAGTGCAGCACAAGTGGCGACAGCGCAGCTTTCTCTGTGCGCCTAGCGCCTGCAGAGCTAGCTAGCTGGATATGATGGTGATGGATGATTATGACGTGTGCAACGTCAATCATGTCATCCTACTTGAAAATGACGTGAGTACTAGTATCCACTCCACCCTCGTCACCTTGGTGATTCAACGAAGCGCTCGTACAGCGTACTCTCGTATGAACGGTACGCGGTTGTCGTTTGACTTTTCGTTGTGCACGATTGTTTGATCAAAATACAACTACTCTTCCATTTGAAAACTCCCCTTCGTCTTGGGTGGTGGAATGGCCTTGCACCTCCGATTGGATAGAATCCTTTTGGACATATCACAGATCCAATTATAATACATATCCCAGTCCAGTTTCGGATATTTAAACACCTGTCCCAGGCAGCACCACGAATGGAGGAAAACGGAGGGAAAGCTAGCGGAGTGAAACCGAGTGTGTTCGACGACGAAGCAGCTGCTGCCTATGAAGCCTTGATGTCGGACAGGAAGTCCCCGGATAGCAGCATTGACTCATTCGGATCACCTTCGTCACCAACTCCTGTTGACCAGGAGGCAGTGGCAAGTCCAGAAACTACTGTCCTCGTGAGAGTGGAACATTCACCTGAAAGTGGCCAGCATGCTGTAGTCGATGCTGATCTCACTGCTGCTGCTGCTTCTCAAGGAAGTGAGTCCAGCTTGAACTTCCGTCCCACTGCGACTGATGTTGCTGATGCTACGGAAGCAGACGGAGGCGAAGAAACAGATGGCGTGGCCGGCATGGCACGTCTCTCGCCTTATGCTGTGAAGAAGAAGTCACGTATGGTGATTGTATACAGCTCAGCCAGTGTCACACAGCAGCGCTCTGATTTGGTTTCTGGACTTCTCGGGGAACTCCCTGATGTGTTCTCTTCACCACAAGCAGGTTAGGGACCAGTTGACTTCTGTTATATAATATAAGCGATGATTCTGACAAATTTATTAAAAAGGTGTACAAATTGTTGGTGGTCATTCAGTAGATCACCCTGGTGATGCATGTCTCCAAAAGGAACTAATGTCTGGAGCAAAGGGACCATTTTGGTATTGGAGAGACAGAGAGGTCTTGTGAGTACTTCAAGCAGTGTATTATAGTGTGTTTGGCTGTACGCACTTTCGGAGTTGCCTTCGAACAAATCGGCACATGGAAATTTTGAAGTGTCCACAGAAAAAAGATTGTTAGAGTAGAAATTGACCCTCCAAGTGATTTTTCAATGAGCGAATGCTTCTGCTTACCTGCTTCTATGGAGTAGATTACCGTAGAATCCCGCGGATAAGCCCACCCGCGTATAAGCCCAGGCCAGGGTTAGTTTGAACATCACAAAGCTTCATCGTACAAGCCCATGGGCCTAGGTCATACCTAGAGTCCATAAATTATGGACTCTTGGTCATACCATGTACATGTACCTGATGTACGTAGTACATGTAGTTTTTCTGTTGTTGTACATTTCAACACAATCATCGGTTGTTTTTGTTTCCACAGTGGTTTTCAGCAATGTACTTCTCACTTCCTTGATACTTTTCAATAGCACTATTTTGGTGTCGGCGTATAAGCCCTTGTTCTCGTATAAGCCCACCAAAATGTCCTTGTGAATCAGATAAGCCCATGGGCTTATCCGCGGGATTCTACGGTACCACATTGTATTATGCTCTCTGGGAAGTTCTTTCAATCAAGATCCTTGGCAAACTTTAATGCTATTCTCACATTTCTCAGTATCCTGTACGCTTCTTGTATCCCGTGTACGCCCACCAACAAAACGTTGAAACAGCTGCGGAAAAATGTTATTCGGCCTAATTTGTTTTGCTATGATCAACAGCCCACAGCATCAACACAGTGTTGAACGGGCAGTATGATGTTTGTTTACATAAGTCTCTGTGTTTGTGTGTGTGTGTGTTTGTGTGTGTGTGTGTGTGTGTGTGTGTGTGTGTGTGTGTGTTTGTGTGTGTTTGTGTGTGTTTGTGTGTGTGTTTGTGTGTGTGTGTGTGTTTGTGTGTGTGTGTGTTTGTGTGTGTGTGTGTTTGTGTGTGTGTGTGTGTTTGTGTGTGTGTGTTTGTGTGTGTTTGTGTGTGTGTTTGTGTGTGTGTTTGTGTGTGTTTGTGTGTGTGTGTGTGTGTGTGTGTGTGTGTTTGTGTGTGTGTGTTTGTGTGTGTGTGTGTTTGTGTGTGTGTGTGTGTGTGTGTGTGTGTTTGTGTGTGTGTTTGTGTGTGTGTGTTTGTGTGTGTGTGTTTGTGTGTGTGTGTGTGTGTGTTTGTGCGTGTGTGTTTGTGTGTGTGTGTGTGTGTGTTTGTGTGTGTGTTTGTGTGTGTGTGTGTGTGTGTGTGTGTTTGTGTGTGTGTGTGTTTGTGTGTGTGTGTGTGTGTGTGTGTGTGTGTGTGTGTGTGTGTTTGTGTGTGTGTGTGTGTGTGTGTTTGTGTGTGTGTGTTTGTGTGTGTGTGTGTTTGTGTGTGTGTGTGTGTGTTTGTGTGTGTGTGTGTTTGTGTGTGTGTGTGTGTGTGTTTGTGTGTGTGTGTTTGTGTGTGTGTGTGTGTGCCAGCTAGTCCGGTTGGTGGGTACACTTATGCCTGATTGTGTTGGATCTGTTGCCAACAGGCTCGGCTGCTTGAAGGTGTATTGTTGTATCTGCCACCTTTGTTGGTTTCAGGTTACTTTCTATTTGAAGTATACATACCTGTTAACCATTAACTGCTTCTGGCTAGATTAACTCTTGTGTAATCAATGATGCTAGTGACGCTTAGATCAGATCCACTCTGATTTAGCCACCCACACTAGTAGCAAGCATTACCTTCACTGGGGGCAGGGGTAACTGCAGTTGGATCCCAGGACGGATACCCTGATGCCGTCAATCCTTTTTCTGCACCTTGTCGTCACCCACTTACTGAGGTGTGGTGAGCCCATAAGTGGGATCATTTTCAAGTCCAACCAGAGTTTTGGGGATTTCAGGGGGTGTCGGCCGTTGGGCGGTTCAATAGCCAGTTGAGTCATCTTTCCAAAATTCCTTTTGAGTCTCTCTCCCCTCTCCCGGGGAGACCCACGTGACCAGTTTTGGCAGTGAGCAACAAGTACAAGTGTGTGTGTATGTGTGTGTGTGTGTTACATGCTTGCACAAATGGGTTTGCCTGCAGTGTGCACTGCACTGCACAATGCGACTTACTACAGTGGTGGCCACCCGTGCACCAATATCACATCAGAGGTGTTCAGAGAGCGTCAGCAGAGCGGTGATTTCTTCGTCACCTACCAGATGCAGATGCGTCAGCCGCAGGGAGCACCGGTGAGTGTGGCAACCTCGCCGTCAGCTTCGTCCGTCGGAAGTGCACATGGCAGCGGGAGTGGTTCACCGGCTGTGACGTCACCAACACAAGACGGCGGCGAACAGCCACGTCGCCGACGCCAGCTGCCATCCGTACCACCAGCAGGAACGCCGACAAGCCCCGGAGCTCCGGCGTCACCATGCTCCAACGGCTCAGCATCAACGAAGACTCCACCGCCGGTCCAGGTGGGTATCTCCAAAGACAGTGTCGATGGCGTACGGTCACGAGGCCTGTGCATGCTGCTCTCCTTGGAAACTGCAGGCGCTCTAACTGCAAGCAAGAGTCGCGGTGACGCCTATGACATTGGTTTTGTCTATCTGGCGGTAAGTACAGCCTTGCACTGCACTGCATAGTCCCCCATGGTTGATTATAAAGTGCTTGTTCTGCTTACCAGTATGTCGCTGTCTTCAATGTGACCGTTGCTATATTCGCCACTATTTGTTTGTGTGAGACACGTCAGTCCTCTACAGGTCTAACGTACAGATTCTGAACGAAAGGTCATGAACATTAATGTGCATGGACAAACTCGCGATTTTACTAGACTACAAATGAAGAACTGATCTGCAAAACACACTATAAACTGCCAAATTTGAGAAAAGCAGATTTTCAGCTCAGTGCAATCAAAACGTCTATGGGCACCACCAGGAAATATTTCACTTTAAAAATCTGATTATAGCCGTTTCAAAATTCTAACTCAATTGTGGATTTAGATATGAACCGCACATATAATGAATCCTTTTTTGGCCATTATCCGAAAAGTGATGACATGGATTTAGCGGGTTTTGCTGTCAAATGTCTTCGGTCGCGCACAAAGTTCGTCTTCTCTTTCCTGCATTTCTGCTGCGTATGGGTTGCAGAAAGATGAAGAATCATCCGAGCCGTTCTCCCCTGAGCATCCTGTCATTGTGATGCGCGACGGCGATGATTCAGCTCTTCAGTTTCGTAATGTTGTCTTGGTTTGTAAGTTTACTCATTACTAGTATTCTCTTTGTCTACCTCGCTTTCTCTCAGTCTACATCCTGGTACCTTTTTTGAAGTCTGTCTCCATTTGCTTGTTGTCTGAGCTGTTGCCTGTCGATGCCTTGTTGTTAATGCAATGAAGGTTGAAGGTTGTTCATTTCCATCAGTTCCACACGAGGTCCATGAGGGACCAGAAGGCCTCTCTTTCTTTCGAATTTTCTCCTGGCTTCCCACCTTTGCGGTGTATATCATATGTGTGTGTATGTGTGTGCGTGCGTGCGCGCGCGCGTGTATCTGTGTTGCTTCTAATTGTGTCGTGCGTTCTCTGCTCTTTTTTTTGTTTTGCTTGACAGCTGCTGGTCAGGTGCATACCAACAGTAAGACACTATCACCGAGCACAGCATCAAGAGTAGAACTCCAAGCACGGACAGAATGGGAGACTGTTGCCACTGTACCGCTGTCAATGGGCGCAAATGCAGACAGTTCGTTCGCAGGTATGTAGCTTGCATTTTCATTACATCCCTTAAACAACTTACTTACAAGTTTGAATGGGCATAGCTTGCTTTGTCAGGACTACTGCATAGCTACAGTACAAGCATTGCTCCAGTCCAGTAACATCACAATCTGTACACTGCTTTTTCTCGTTCTTTTTCTCGTGTGCTTGCCATACCCCACCCCAATATGTTGAGCATGTATTACCCTACATGGTTCACACACTTCAGTACTGCTCTGTTGCTTGCTCTGCCCTCTGCTCAGAGTCGCGGCCACAGTCCGTCGTCAGCATTGCTTTTGCCGAAGCATTGGCATACTTTCAATCACGCCATCAGACCCTTCAGCAAAAGGTACTGTTACGTGTGAGCTGCCATACCTTTTTTTCAATCCGCAATGCAACACATCTGTGCGCCATGTTGTCCTAGGTCGAAGCGCACTGGTGTATTGGAGTTGTTTCACGTCTTCGTCATGTGGCTAAATTTATGCGTGAAGTGATCATGGCATGTGGACGGTGGAACCCACATGGCCGACGTCATGTGACCCATAGATGCAGGGGCTGAGTGGAGTAGGAACCAACATGGCTGTCTGTATGGTCATGTGATGGATGTGAAACCACTCTATAAGTCCCGCACTCCCACCCGGCGAAATGTCCGTTTCAGTTTGCAGGTGTTTTGCGTGAAAAGGAATTCTTGGGTAGACGGAGAGCCACAACAGACATCTTGCCTGATATTCTGCAGGAAAAACAGTGTTATTTTGAGGAGCAGTGCAGTGTTATTTTGAGGAGCAGTGCAGTGTTATTTTGAGGAGCAGTGCAGTGTTATTTTGAAGCTTATAAGTGTACTTGTACATGTTGTAATAGTGAAATAATGTGAAACTTTGCATGAGTTTCGAAACACATCGATTTTCGATGAGTAATAGCAGAAGTTGCGATTTGCGACTAGAGTGTTGGCTGCATCAGTGCGACCTGTGGCATCAGTTGAACCGTTTCTTGACATCGAAAAAAAGGCCATCAGTGGCAAGTGATGCTGTCCATAACCCGTATGCGGAGTTTCACCCTCCGGTTTATCTTCTCTTGGAATTAGCCATCATGCATTCTGATGCTCTCCTTGAGTCTCCAGGGTAAATGTTTGTCCTTTCTCGGTGTGTTGTCTCCTCAGCATGGAGTCTTCCAGCAGCTGAAAAAGCCAGGCCTGTTCGCAACCAAGTTGCGGCCGTCCCTTGTGTGTGAGAGGGATCTTGTCTACGTGATTGCCAATAGTAAGTCAACCTCTTCACTGAAATGCTTTTGGAACGTGCCCACGTCTCTCTCTCTCTCTCTCTCTCTCTCTCTCTCTATTTATCTACTTCTATCTCTCTTGCTCTGATCCATCTCTCTTGGGGCCTCTCTCTCTCTATCTCTCTCTCTCCCTCTCACTCTCTCTCTCTATCTCTATCTATCTATTTATCTATCTCCCTCACCTCCTCTTCCCAAATCGCTGTGTTTCAAGAATTGGCTCTGTGCAGGTCTTTGGCACAGTTTGTTTCCTAACTTAGACTTGTTTGTAGTCTCCTTCGATAAGATCCTGTCTAGTCTGATAACTTACCCTCTTGTTTCTGTTTTCTAGCTCCATTCGACAACAGCGAACCCACCCACTTCCGTATCCTATTGACTATCTACAAGAAGCTGACAGGTATGCTATCCGTGCATGAACCATCGCTTGCGGCTTGAAATCGTGCCATACTACATGTAGTACTCCCTGCTTTTGCTTTCTGTACGTATCTGAATTCAGGGTCCGCAGCAAAGTTTGGAAGTTTGGAAAAAGTTTGGATTTTAGATTTTAATTTTCCAGGTCTGGAAAAAGTTTGGAAAAGGCGCTACTTTTGTCAGAGTTTGGTGAGTGGTGTGTGGATGTGTTATCTCTGCCTCTGCTGTCATGGTGTTCACTTTCTGCAGGCGATGTCATTGACTGTCCCCGGTTTGGCAGCCACTGGCAGTCCATAGGGTTTCAGGGTGAGTGGAATTATTGATCCTTGTGGAGGGGTGTGTAGCGTTGCGCACGTCGCAGCATGCGCTCATCTCTAATGACATGCTTTATCTGCTTTCTACTTCGCAGAGCTTTAGTGATGAAGTACAGCTTTCTCATTGCTCAACGTTGGATACGTTTTCAGCAGTAAATGTAGCACTCTGTTTTATTACACAGTTTTATCACTCCCTTAGTATTGACTCACATAGATTTTTGCCATACCTAAGCAGTCAAATATTCCTGCATATTTCACTCCTTAGGGCTATATTGACTGCTTATATTTGACTGCTTAGGGGTTGCGCAGTTGAACGGTGCCTAGTGCAGCATTGTCACTGCATGAGTAGGTGGTGGTGCAACGGTTGTGCAATCATAAAACCGGGATTCATGAGGTTATCGTTCTGGAATTTGAAATACGGACTGTTTGTCGTGATAAATCTAATATTGACTTCGTACTTGGTCAGTATAGGAAATAAAAACCTCGTAAAAGACCTCGGCTTCGCCTCGGTCTTTTACTCGGCTTTTATTTCCTATATTGACCTCGTACTCAGTCAATATTAGATATGTATTACAGTTCCTTGGTAACTTGAATTGTCTCTGTGCATCTGCTACAGCTATGGCATGATAGTGCACGTACCTGTAGAAAAGGGGAACGTTTCTTGGCCAGCTCTTGTTCTGGGAGGCAGCAGGACTTCAAGTACTTTTTCGTTGATAACCACCAGTACATGTGTGTATGATTCTCTGTCTTGGCACCCTATCCAGGCACCGACCCTGCCACTGACCTGCGTGCTGCAGGTCTGCTGAGCCTTGTACACATGCTACACCTACTGACCAACTCAGAGCTACTGCCACTGGCTATGAAAGTTTATCGCCTGTCCAACCATGAGGTGCAGGTGAGACAGGTTGCTGTACATTTTTGTTTTTATACAAGCACCATACACACTAGAGTCACATGCTTCCCCTTGTTGGTTGTTTGTGAGCTTGGGCGCTCCCTAGGCGGACGAAATGATAACGTTAGTGGCCATTTTGTTGCGGAACCTGGTAAGGAGAGGTGAGAGAAATGCTCTCATCCTGGCTCAAGCATCACCTCCGTTATACACGTGTGTGTGTGTGTGTGTGTGTGTGTGTGTGTGTGTGTGTGTGTGTGTGTGTGTGTGTGCTAGTATGCTAGTACGCTACATTTTTTGATAGGTTTATGATTCCTGTTGTGCGTGAGTGTGTGCTCATGTCCTGTCCTGTTTAGAACTTCCCGTTTGCGGTGCTGTCAATCAACTTGACTCTGATGGCGCTGCAGTCTCTGGAGCAAGGGCCTATCAGCAGGTAGGGAGGCACTCGCAGATACGTGTAGCCTTTGTAGCCTGGCATTGTCTTCCTCCGTACTGATAATTTGTTTCGTTTTGAATGCGCCATCACTTTGGAAATTCTTGTGCACGCTCTCTCTCTCTCCTCGTCTGTCTGCCTGCCTCTCTCTCTCTATCTCTCTCTCTCTCTCTCTCTCTCTCTCTCTCTTTCTCTCTCTCTCTCTCTCTCTCTCTCTCTCTCTCTCTCTCTCTCTCTCTCTGCCAGTCTGTGTGCCTGCTCACATCACAATCATCTCCTGCACTGGTGGATTCAGTGATTTTCCATTCTAGCTCAAGTACATGTATCCTCAAGCAGAGTAGCTGAGTGGAATACTGTTGATGGGAACACATGTGTACAAACTGCACATGTCTAGTGTACATGTGCTCGATCTCCATCAGTGTGAGGAAATTGAAAAGGGAAAGGTCTAAAGACAAAAAATAAAATAGTTTACTGCGAAGTATATTTAGGCCAAAACAAATAATGACCTTGTTTCCGGTCGCCCGACCGGGCCACTTTTTCCCAAATTCTGAAACTTTTTTTGGTCCCAAATGTATACAAACGGTGGCAATGCCATGTGTGCAAGTGCACTCAACGAGTCATAACTCAGTCAAATCTCAACCGAATTCCAGAATCGAAACACCTACAAGGTAGCAGAGATTCTCAGCTGTCGGCTCGAAAACCTCCGGGGTCGATACGAGCTAGAATAACAGAGCTGGAAGGACTCGAACTGTTTGCTTGATTTCTCAGAATGTACGAAAACAGGAATACACCCCATTCTGTACAAGAACAGTGAGTCAGTCAACTTTGACATTGATCCTTGCCATGATATATGTACAATGTACATGTGTAGGTGCGCTTGTCCATCAATACCACAACGATTGAGGAACCAAAAAAAGTATCCAAAAAAAGTTTCATTCCGGCCGACTGAGTCTCCTTTTTGAGGGGTTGCCGACCGGAAACAAGCCTATTTTTTGTTTAGGCCTTATGGTAAATCCCCTTCGCTGTCATCTATCTGTCCCTTATGCAGGCTATGTAACAAGCGGCAGCAGGTGATCTCCACACTGAATGACATATACGCTGCATGCATGTTTCGCCTCTACAATACATGGTTAGTACTAGTTACAGCACATTGGCTGCTGGGATGGAGTCTGGCCATCTCTTCTTTGTGTGCTTTGTGTGGTGCATGGTGTTGTTGTTGACCTGGTCTGAGCTGCCCTGCAAGTTACTTTCAGGATGCATACACTTTGTTGGAGATAGTCTTCAGTTCTTCTTTACCAACCAGCACACCAAGTGGTAGTGTTGATAGAACTGTTTTCCACACTGCTGGTTCACCGGAGTATGTTCCGGCACCAGTGTGGGCTCCGTAGTAGGGCTGCTGTCAGGCTGATATTCTGTGTGTGTGTGTGTGTGTGTGTGTGTGTGTGTGTGTGTGTGTATGTGTGTGTGTGTGTGTGTGTGTGTGTGTGTGTGTGGGTGTTTCATCAAGATGGCGTGCGTTCAAGTTGTTCTAAGTCTACAGTAGTGGTGGTAGAGTGTTGGCAGGGCAGCTTGACGGATGTACTGCCACGGCCAGAGAGAACAATTGTTATATTTACTGAAGTGTGTGCTACACTACGCTTTTCTTGTCTATTATTCCTGCGTTTGCTCCTGATCTGTTTTCTGTTGTATTTTTCTCTGTGATGATCATGCATCTTGATTTGGTCTTGTGTCACGTTATTTGCGTGTGTGTATACGCTGCAGGAAATCTGGCCGTAAGACGATTGTGGATTCGGAGCAGGTTCTTGGTGGTAGGTTGTCATGCTTGCTTTGGAGAGTAGTTTTTTTAAGCAACCTTCTGTCCAGGTGTTGATCTTTTCAAGTCATCAAATACACCATGTACTGTCGTGGACATGGAAATCAGCTCGTACAGACTGTGCACGAGCTGCAGCGCGTAAATCTACGTATGTGGGTTACCCACCACGGCTGCATGGCCAGCGCCCTGGGGGCGCTAGACGTGCGACCGGATTTCCATGTCCACGACAGTACATCGTTCTGGGAAATCCGCATGCATTGTGCTGCTCGATGAATTCCGATCGCGTAATTTTGCGTCCGCGCCGGGCGCTGTGTAGCGCTAGACCTGCAAACACTGGCATGTGAGCTGGTGCAGGCTGCAAACTTGACTCATATGATCGGATTTCATCAGGTGAGCTGCAGCACTGTACAATGTGTACATGCATGTCCCATCCAGTGTGTTTGGTGAGTACATGCATGCCCTATCCAGTGTGTTTGGTGAGTACATGCATGCCCTATCCAGTGTGTTTGGTGAGTACATGCATGCCCTATCCAGTGTGTTTGGTGAGTACATGCATGCCCTATCCAGTGTGTTTGGTGAGTACATGCATGCCCTATCCAGTGTGTTTGGTGAGTACATGCATGCCCCATCCAGTGTGTTTGGTGAGTACATGCATGCCCTATCCAGTGTGTTTGGTGAGTACATGCATGCCCCATCCAGTGTGTTTGGTGAGTACATGCATGCCCTATCCAGTGACTGTATGTTTGGTGAGCTCATACTGGTAGCAGAATGCAGACGAGCTCATCAGCTTCTTCACTGGATAAACACTTTGGCTTGTATATTATTATAATTGTAGAACTGCTGTTTGTTTAGCTCTCTGCCGTTGTTAATAATGTTTAGTGTTATGATGAGCTCTGCCTTGTGTGCTCTGCCCGGGTGCCCTTACTCCCAATTCATACCTTCCAGAACTCCGACTGCAGCTTGCCAACCATCCCAGGCAGCTTCTCTCCGACCTGGAGAAGCATCAGGAGAAAATGAGAGAGGAGTTCTCTCAGCGGCGCACATCCACCCAGCTGTAATCTGGGCTACACTTGTGCAAAATGCGACACACCGACTTGCTTCTCGATCTGCTGTGATATGGTGCCATGGCCCTGTCCTATTCAATACTGGGGTACGCACTCAAGCCAGTGAATGACAATCATCCAGTCATTTTTTATTATTGAACACTCACTGCATGATGAACTAAAATGACAAGGAGAACTCGACACAATGGTACATATCCAGCAGGACGGAGTGGGTGGGACCTGTGAAGCTCAGCCGACCAAGGGTCTCGGCATCACAGCTGCACATGTGTCGCCTACACTAGAGACTACAGAAAAAGTAATCGAATCATGGTGTATCAGTTTTAGGACTGCAGTCAGCCCTGGCCAAAGCATTCACTCCGGACTGTCCACCTGAATCACACACTGTCCTCTTCAATTCAAGACCTCTTCTTCAGTGATTAGCGATAGTTACTCGTTCTATTGTTTGGTGAATCTTTCATCCATTTAATTTTTTTTGTCCCTGTCCAAATTTCCTGGCTTCGGCTTGGACTTACATGTATATCCAGTGCCATTCTTATTTGCTTTGCTGACGAGTCATATAGTTATACGGAGTCCAGTAGTCTTGGCACGTTTTGAAAAAAAATGATTTATTGGCCTAACTCCACCTGCTTCCAACGGTTTGTTTCTGAGTATATTTATAAATACCTGTTTTTATCAAGTACCAGCACATCAATGCTCGCAGTTTGTTCCTTTCGTGCTTCGAGCAAATATATTGGAGAGTTTTTTTTTAATTATTATAGACTGACCTGATTTTTATGTAAAACTGCAACCACTAAACACAGAATGAGCGTAACCATGGTGACCATGGTGCTTGCATGCAAGTACGAGTCATGTGTTATCATGTTATTTTTAATCTTTTTATGTGACATCGATTTTCTGATCAATGCTGGACCGCAATCAGATTGTGCGCTATTTTTTTTTAATCTAGTTTGCCACGTTTAGGGCGAGTTTTATCACAACAGCTTCTCAATTGGAGTATTTTGGAATTAAAATTCCACTCATTATTCATCTTCTGAAAGTGGACCGCTGCGCTGTTTTTATTGTCTTTAGAAAAGAGAACTTCTTTCTCCAACCGATTCTGCTTCCCTCGATCTATGGCTATGGCGAGTCTAAGAGATTATTTACGGTTAACAGTTAATCCGCTGTCTTCAATTGAAAAATATTTAAAAAGAGTCTCATGCCAGTGAATATTCAAAGATGTGGAACTTGTTGATATCTGTACGTGTGTGTGTTCTTGTGTGTTCTTGTGTGTGTCCCCCCCCCCCCCCCCGTCAAGTGCAGGGTGTGCATAGGTATCTGTCTTGGCTATCCTATTCCGATGTTCTCTGTGTGGTGTAGACTAGGCGTGCATTGGCGGGCGATTCACATGACTTCGCTACTACTAGTTATGTGGATTAGGCAGTTATCTGGCGCTTGTCTTGATCTGTTTCAATTCGGATTTTGCCCGCTATCGTTGCTATAAGAGAAAATCTGTGGGTGCACATACAGTGCATTTGCAGATTTGCATGCTTCTCTTGCGATGGGCGTATAACGTTACATGGTAGATCTGTACATGATTGTACATGGTGTGTGTATGTGTGTGAATGGGTGCTCATACGTGACCTGAAAGTTGCACCCGTGGCCCAGGTCTCGTCATGACCGCATCCGTGCGGACAATGCCATTTTGTAGAGGTGTTCAGAAAGAGCCTCCGCTAGTCTAGCCTGACACTGTAAACTCCCATACAGCACCGTCGCCATGGCAAAACCGAGTGGCTAGTGCTGCTGTTGACATGCATAGTCCATTGTACTTGACATGCATAGTCTATTGACTATTGTTAAGTAAAGACTTACGTGCCGGATTCGCGGCTGCATCACCTGACGTGTTGAGGAAAACATCACTTGAAGCAAATACCTAAGTCCTTCGCATCGGCGGGCCACCACTTTGCCCATACATCCTCAGTGTCGAATGCAGACCTCACAAGTGAGTCAGGGGAGGGGATAAGTATCTCAACAAGTAGGCGTGTAACGGCCCTATAACCGCATAAACCGCATCCTTGTTACCCTCACACCGAGCAAGTGAGTACCCAGTTCACCGTGGGTGTCTGCACAGTTCATTGCATGTAAAGTGCATGGTACTCGCCCGCATCAACGCGGTTGAGAGAGCACTAAACACACTCTCTGTTACCAGCGCAGGTTTTGAACTCGGAACCTCATGATTCGCAAGCAAACCTACAAACCAATCGGCTATACGCGTCTATTGTAGTGTACTGAATGCCTGCTCGACTCTGGAACAGCAGAAAAGACTGCCGAATGCCCGGTGCCGTGGCCACGACTAGATCTGCTCATTCACATAAGCCATAATGCAGCACAGCTTCGGGAATAAATATACACGTTGTTTGGGAACAAGCCACCAGTATGGTAACTCACCCGTCTGAATATTATAACTTTAAAAGGTGTATCTCACAAGTCAGTATGCCATGCATAGAGACTCAGCGGGGTTGTAAGTACATGCGAATATCGTTTCAATAGAATCCTAAACTTACTCTGCAATCAGCCAGTGCACTAAAGCAGAAAAGCTGCATATTATTTTACTGAAGGTACTCGACAAATGTATTCTATAATGTTATGATCACAATCAAATATAAATCCACCAGACGTTAAAAAAACAGCACATCTAACCAACAGCGTCAAAGACAAAACATGACTGGTTTAGAGACGTTCTTCACACTGGACTAGGCGAAGTTTCGGAAAGGAGTCTCACGGTCAATTGGGAACAATCCAGTTCTTCAAGTCGATCAGGTACACGCATAGGCATACGCACATCCATGGTCTCATGCTGTGAGAGCAAGGTGATACCCAGGAGGCCAGCAGGCCACCGGATGATCCTGCCTTGCATAATCAGGTGAGACACGGAGCGCGAGAACAAGTTGACATGCATCTCGACGGTAAAACGCACTGAGACCCGAGATGGCTTGCCAGCTTGGCCGCAGCCACCCCATGTGCGACGGCTCACTCCTAACCCTCCTAGAGCAGTTCAATGTAATTCTCGGGTACCAGTCCAGTGCGGCCGCGCAGCGTACACATATACCAGCCAGGCTCGTCGGATACAACAACTGTCAAGGACGACAACAGTACACCGCACAGACACACATAAAACAATAGAGTGAGTTTTTCAAGACGTTATGAGTTCTCAGTCTTCGAGCTCTGCTTGCTTCAAGGCTCAAATATTATTGCAAGTGGAAAGGAGGGAAACAAATATAACGAATATTTGTTCGGTTCGTCACATTCGAATGACTATTTCTCATGGCTGAATATGTGTTACGTCACTTCGAATGCAGTCTTTCAGGCTTTCAGTTCACCTTTCTTCAAATTTCTTGATCTGTAATTCTGTGTTTATGATTGATTAACATGCCCCTGGCACACAGAGACTCCCCCGATCCAGGCCAAGGCCTGTGGAGAATCCATAAATACAAATAAAAAAATAAAAAAATAAAAAATTCGACGGGTTCGCGTAACGGGCAGGTCAAGAACAAGGAGTCGTACAACTCCCTGGTCAAGAACCACCTTTCCGCTTCCGTGGGACGCCACCACCCCATGATCAGGCGTCAGATGCGGCTCCCAAGCGGTGGGGAGGATAGATCAGATCTACCAACCAGAGGCCAAAGGCCTCAATCCCATTTGCCACATCCATGTATTACTCATGCCAGGACACGAGTTCCCAATTAAAGGGGAAGTATACCCTAAAATCAAATTTTCACCAGTTGTAGTCTTCGGGGTGCTGAGTCGAATGGTCTTGGTCCGAGGAAGCTGCGACGCTCCCTTCCAACTTGAATCCCAATCGAACTCGCGCACTTCCACCGAAACTGGGTGACTGCGCCCTACTAGATGGGGATTTGTATGCAAAATGTCACTAAAAGCGCCATTTCGTTCTTATAAAAGCATGGATGACCGCGATTGGCCCATATGTTGTAGTCTTTTGGACGCTGAGTCGACTGGTTTTGGTCCGAAAAGGCTGCGATGCAGCGTTCCTCCTTTATTCCCAATCGAACATGGTTGAACAAGCGGTCACGTGCTCCTGCGTACACCAGTCACCTGGTCACCGTGCCTGCAGGGTACAACTTACTAGCCTGTTTGACCTTTTTTGGGTGCAGTCCTGTCACTCGAGTTGAACTCGAGTTGAACCTTGGTGTGAAAGTTGTCGCCTGCTGGCGCGGTGACCAGGTGATTTGGGCACCCAGGAGCACGTGACCACTTGTTCAACCATGTTCGATTGGGAATAAAGGAGGAACGCTGCATCGCAGCCTTTTCGGACCAAAACCAGTCGACTCAGCGTCCAAAAGACTACAACATATGGGCCAATCGCGGTCATCCGTGCTTTTATAAGAACGAAATGGCGCTTTTAGTGACATTTTGCATACAAATCCCCATCTAGTAGGGCGCAGTCACCCAGTTTCGGTGGAAGTGCGCGAGTTCGATTGGGATTCAAGTAGGAAGGGAGCGTCGCAGCTTCCTCGGACCAAGACCATTCGACTCAGCACCCAGAAGACTACAACTGGTGAAAATTTGATTTTAGGGTATACTTCCCCTTTAACTGTGGGTCGCAGCACGGTTGGAAAAAATCCTTCCGCTTCCAAGCAGGACTTGAACCTGGTACCTCTCGTTTCTCAATCATGGTCTTAGACCAACCCACTGTGCCTAAATACAAATACATACTTCAAAGTATGTACACATACACACCTGGCACCTACTCTGAATCTCACTACTTTGAGGAAATAAGTTCTGTTAGTAGTTCCTAATTACTTGCTTCTTTCCATGCATGTGGCAACATGTAGTGATGCATTTTATGTAGCACTGCTGTTTGTTGGAAAGGTGTTTGCTCCCCACGCCGGAGCTAGCGCATTTTCTGCCGACTTTAACCGGACACTTGACAAGTCGGCTGAAAAGCACAAGCTCCGGTGTGGGGAGCAAGCACCTTTCCTATGACATTATCGCCGAAGTCGCGACCACTATCTCGTAATACTGATCGCCATGTACAATGATAGCCTGACAATATCCAATCAAATTACTGAAAGGTCATGTGATGTCAACCTGATAACTTTGGCAACGTGCAGTCTAGTGTTCTATGCTGTCACTCACCTTCATGGAAGATATCGTCCGTGTCAAACGAGAGCTCATGGACATCTTCCGCCAGGCAAGGATACAGTGCTCTTGCTCGCCTGTGTACACAGCCAAAACGCACATACACACATGCACACGCACAGAATACCTATTGGAGAAACCAATTTTCAAACCAAGAAGATAACTATACACAGACCCATGGATTGTTGCCTGATGGAATAGCAGCCTGCACCGGCACATTTGTCCAGCGTGATGCAAGAAAGGCGTACCTGCCAGGGCGGTGTCTTCGCGGCGGTGCGGCTGGCGGTCCAGTAGGATGCGATGCACTATTGACGTGCCTACACAGTGCACAAAATGAACACGCAAGAATACAGTCATATCATCTAGAAGGTCAGTCTGATGACTACACTACCCATCGGAGATCGGAGGTTGACGACTCATTCATATGCAGATGACCCTGCCACATGATGTCACTGCACTAACGTTATAACTCTAGTGACGGCCAACCTTTACGAATGTACGAAACTGAGTCACCGGACACAGACCAACATACCGGACACAGACCAATATAGTCTGACAGATGAACAGGATGGAACACTGAAAGGAGTTTAACAAAAAAACACATGCTGCTCATATGCCCTACAAAACAAACAAACAAAACAGGGCAAAACATCACATTCTACAGTAGTTCAAGACACATGGGCCATGATAACGAGCCACCCCACACAGCTTTTATAGACGACTTACTCTTCTTCTAAGACGCTGTTCTTATCGCCACTGGTCGGAGTACCGGAGAGGACGGACTCTGTCCCCGCGCTGCCGCTCAGGTCATGGTCTGTCATGCTGCCAGGACGCCGCCGCGGCTGGGGAGCAACAGGCGCCACGGGCTTGGACAGGTCCACTTGAGGGCTACTCGGACCGTTTGGCGGGGACGGGGCTGGTACTGTCGGCTTTGTCAGGATTGTTGGAGCAGTGTGTTGGCGATTTACTGAAGAGAAAGACACAACCAACAATGGAATGAGTATACTCGAGTACAATGTACGTGCCACCATTTTACTCGACTTTCAATAAAGAAATTCACGGTTCGCTTGAGACTGAGTTAGATTGAGTTTTCAGCATCCGTAGGAACCCCACCACCCTGCAAAGATCAAAGGCGGAGATACAGTTACTAAAGCGGTAAAGCAATAAGGCTTGCTATAGAAAGTGCAATAAGGCTTGCTATAGAAAGTGCAATAAGGCTTGCTATAGAAAGTGCAATAAGGCTTGCTATAGAAAGTGCAATAAGGCTTGCTATAGAAAGTGCAATAAGGCTTGCTATAGAAAGTGCAATAAGGCTTGCTATAGAAAGTGCAATAAGGCTTGCTATAGAAAGTGCAATAAGGCTTGCTATAGAAAGTGCAATAAGGCTTGCTATAGAAAGTGCAATTCGTACTTAGAACAGGCACTGAACATTTTCCATTCACTGTGTTGTATGATTGTTCACCATTAAAAACTCTAGTCCCTGGTGACCTATCCATAGTAGGGTTTATCGAAAACAAAACAAGAAGACAGTACTGGTGGAATGAGTGGGATGGGATCGGTGGAATTGGGGAGCGTTTGTAAATTGTAATGCAAACTGATTGGCACCAACCTGAGGGAGGGGGCGGTGGTGGCTTGTGCGGCATTCTCACACCTGCTGCTTCAGAGTGCACTCGCATACGATGATCGGCTGTGGAGAGAGGCAAATCCAGAAAGATGTACAATGTAGATGCACATAACAATTAGACATTGCATGTATGTACATACATGTATGACTTTATTCTGATGTTACGCACTAAACTCACACAATTGCTGGCTGAAATCAATCCCTGGCCCAGGCTGTACCTAATGCATGAGTGGAATGGCTGTGCCAGTGTGCCTGCTGGTGCAGACCTGCTAGTGCAGACCCGCTGGTGCAGACCCGCTAGTGCAGACCCGCTGGTGCAGACCCGCTAGTGCAGACCCGCTGGTGCAGACCAGTTGGTGCAGACCTGCTAAGGCAGACCCGCTAGTGCAGACCCGCTAGTGCAGACCCTCTGGTGCAGACCCGCTAGTGCAGACCCGCTAGTGCAGACCCGCTAGTGCAGACCTGCTAGTGCAGACCTGCTAGTGCAGACCTGCTAGTGCAGACCTGCTAGTGCAGACCCGCTAGTGCAGACCTGCTAGTGCAGAGTGCAGACCCGCTGGTGCAGACCCGTTAGTGCAGACCTGCTAGTGCAGACCCGCTAGTGCAGACCTGCTAGTGCAGACCCGCTAGTGCAGACCCGCTAGTGCAGACCCGCTAGTGCAGACCCGCTAGTGCAGACCCGCTAGTGCAGACACTGTTCCAGCCCACTTGTCAACTCACAACCAGCCCAGTCAACTAAGACAGTCACATAAACTGCCGTATGAGTGCACATTTGAGTTTATTTATTGCCGTAGGAAGTTTGGTTTGGACATTCGCTGATGCTGTCGCAGCCCATACACAATGGTTACTACATGAATAGCTGCAAGCTAGTTGACAGTCGGCAGGCAGGCATAGTGGGATGGTCTAAGACCATGATTGAGAAACAGAGGGTACCAGGTTCAAGTCCTGCTTGGAAGCGGAAGGATTTTTCCAGTCGTGCTGCGACCCACAGTTAATTGGGAACTCGTGGCCTGGCACGAGGAAAACATGGATGCAGTGAATGGGATTTTCGGTCTTTGACCACTTGCTGGTGAGCTGATCTACTCACCTCCCACCGCTTTAGGAGCTGCATCTGCGCCTTGATCCTTGAAGGGTGGTGGCGTTCCTACGGATGCGGAAAACCCGGCTTCCAGCCGAGTCTCACGCGAACCGTGAATTTTTTTTTAAATTTAGTTGACAGTCTTGCTACCATTAGCAGTCAAAAGCATTTTCTACAGCGTGCAATGTGTTCAGGCACGTACCATTGTCGCTGGGTTTGCGAGACGGTGGCGGCGGCTTTCGGGCAGTAGGCGGGTGTGCACCTGTGCTAGTGCCCGGACCAGCAGAGGCTGCAGCCGCAGCAGCAGCAGCAGGTGCAGGTGGTGGGGCATGGCTGGGCGCCACTGGCGCAGCACGTCGCAGCGTGGGGTGATTAGTGGAAGCGAGCGGGGGCGGTGCTGCTGGACCAGAGCTAGCCGTCGAGCTGTGCATCGGCGAGGAGGCGGTGGAGCTAGGGCCAGGCGAAGTGATATCGGAAAACATCTGAAAAAAGAAAGGCACACATCCATTGGTTAGTCGATGGGCTAGAACAAAGAAGGAACATTCAAGGAACGCATTTCAACTGCACTATCCAACTTAGCCCAATTTCGCACTGGTTTGTGAGTTAAAAGATAGCAGATATGGGTTGAAGCCTGCTTCCAACACACACGCATGCACGAGCGCGCACACAGACACACACATGCACGCATGCATGTACACGCATGCATGCATGCGCGCATGCACACACCACACACACACACACACACACACACACGCGCGCGCACGCACATGCACACACACACACATGCAGCAACGTGCCTGCACTCATAACAACACTGAATAGTACTCCAACCACCAACATCTTCCCCCGACCCCCCCCCCCCCCACCATCCCATTCCACCCGACCCCCCCCCCCCCCCCCCAATCACCACCTCCAACACTACCCCCAACGCTATCCGCTAGGACCATTTCTAACATCATTGCTCCACCCAGTCTCAACTCTATAATTATGATAGAAGATAATCATGCTGTACTGGCTACCAAGTACCAACACCATCTACCAATGCCAATGCCAATGTTGGATGTGACAAGTCTACAGCCTTACATCAGTGTAGCGATCCACCATGATCTCAATTACGATGTTCTGATATTTGATATCCATAATACCAGCCACAGAGTCCTCCAGCGGTCGCATCAGCGTCGGGCCAAACACCACACCAATGTTGCTAGCATGCATCTTGTTTTCGTCAGCGTTCTCCGACACCCTGCAGAATAGACGATGGAGAAACGTAAACACAAGCAAATACAGCGCTTAGGGTTCCCTACTGGCCTCACACACCCTATACCAATACCTCAGCTCGGCTATTTATCAGTTCTCTTGGTATGTCAACTGTACTGGAAATTGTAAAAGTAGAGCCGCATTATGCAGAATGGAACAACAATGAAATGCAGACGACACCAACTAATGACTGAAACCAAATTGCCCGATGGTGGTACTCAGAGATGAAAGTGGATCTTGATTAACACGATGGAATCAAGAAAATGTCTATATCATACTTTCGCAAATGCTGCATCAGAACAACGAGAAGCCTGCGATTGAACGGCGGAAGCTGCGTCACACATCGGTGAATGGCTCTGAAGCGGTCATTGGGCGTTGCCTCTTCTGCAAAAATGACCCCAGCAAACAACAAAACAAGACCAATCACTTCGGTAGTAGTAAACAGCAAAGATAGGAAGATACGAGTGCAACACAACACGATATAGACAGTGGAACCTCAGTCTCTGACCATCTCACTTTCGTACACCACTGCAGGAATGCGACCACTTTTCCCGGTCCCACATTGGGCCCTCTACTCCAGATCCCGCATGCATACATGCAAAACATATCACCAGCTCAGACACCGGATCACTTAGGTCAGTCCAGAAGGTGGTCAGATTTCTGAGCATCAACAGCTCAGAAACTGAATCACTGAGCTCAGTGTGGAAGGTGGTCAGATTTCTGAGGTTCTGTCGGGTGTCAAAGTGTCAGTACTGACTTGTCAGAGCTGATTTTCACACAACCAAGTTCATGTACGACGTATGCGAAATACATGAAAGGGTCATCGATTCAATACGCTAGAAGCACAGGACCCTGATTGTACGCAACACGCCACTTTGTCAAGACCGCGGCGTCCCTTGAACACGTCTACAGGCGCAGTCAGTTGAAACCGTAGCTCTGATGAAAGCTATTAGACTTGGATGCACATGTAGTTATATCTCTGTGATTATTTTAACCTCCAAGAAACCTAGTGGAGGGTATCAGCCAAGCCAAGATAAAATACCTGCTTTAGGAGTAGAAGAACCTAGCAGGAAAATGATCTATACAGAATGGTGATCACGCCCGTGCAGACCTATAGCATCTACAATATACGTACTTGCTGCTGCCAGAAACTCCGGATAGAGTTTGAACGTCAGGAGAGCTTCTCGATTCCTGGCCACCAGGAGCATATGCGCAAATCACAACAGCAACAATAATTGCACGGATCAGTGTCCGCAGTTACCTTTAGTTTGGTTGTGTTCCCTCCCTCAGTTCTCTTTTCAAGTTTTCACCTGTCCAGGCTCTGCTTTCAACACTCTTTACCATCGGTATTTTTAAGTCGTAAGCATACAAATTGGCAACTAGCATTTTAACTGTCTCACTTGTAATTTTAGCACAAGGTTTGGCGTGAGAACTGAGTGTCTTGGAGGCATGCAGCACTTCTCTCACTTGTCACCATCCAACGGTGTTCATTTGTGCTCGCTCAATACGGGCTCAAAAACACGGCTTACCGGAAAAAGTTCTTGAGGCAGCTTGTGATGGTCTTGACCTCCCATTCGCTGTCCAGCAGGTTAACTTTATCACTGAATTTTCCCTTCTCTGCACATGGCAGCACGCACGCACAGGAAAACCGTCGGGAATCTGTCCTCACCGTGCCACAGAACATGTACATGTTGCGGTGTAACACTCGTATCTTTGCAGACAGTAATTTCTACATGACTATATCATATATGTGACAGCCCTGGCACCTACTACCGTGACTGAGTCCACAAATTTCGGCCTCCCAGGGCTAAAACCCCATTTTGACCGTGTCAAATATTCGGCCTGCACTGCGGCCGTCTGTATACGCTATCACACTGAACCGTGCAAAACAAAATTTCGGCCAAACATGACAAGGCCGAAAATAGCTGAAAATATACACATGCGCCGAATATTTGTTGACTTACAGCACCTGGCGATGAACAACATCTTAGAAAGACAAACAATAGCTGACTTCACTGCAGAAGAGGATACCTGTTCGGCTAGAATCCCCTAGTCCGGCCACAATGCAAGATGATATTAGGCGTGTGTTGTGGGTGGGTGAGGTATGTTACGAGATCAATCCTTACCAATGCATACTTTCATCATCTTCTCGGCCTTGGATGCGACACCAGACAATCGATAGACTCCTTCTTCATCCAAGCCTGAAAGAGATAATTATATTCCAACCGCACCACATCATACTCCGAAGTAAGTACAATCATGTACATGTAGCATACACACATTGGCATGCACTGAAAATAGCACATGTGCACTGACAAGTGTGCAATCGCACACAATACAATAATGCCCATTTTCAGATGATAGCAGGTGTTGAAAGGACCAACAGTGTTCTAGTCATGGGGTACAGAACTTCGAATGGCAAGTAAGGGGTCGTCCGTAATTTTCGAAAAATTAAAAAATCCGTCCTCGTGCAAAATTGTCTCTGACCCACCCACCCACCCCCCATTTTTCCCCATTATTTTTTTGATTTTTACTGATGCCCAGCTCGAAAATAAGAACTCCTGAACCCATGTTTTCTGACTGCACCTGTGTCAAGTACCAGTAGCTAAGTACAGTGAGTAGTAGGTCTACCGACGTCACGGCCATGCACCGTCCTACAACTTATACATGAAAAGTCATATATCATAGATACTGGTGTTTGCGACAATCGATCCTACACTACGTCTACAGTACAGCTCGTACACAGTCAGCTATAATATATCAGTGCAACAAGTGTATGAAAGTCACTGGAGCAAGAAAAAAAAAAAAAGTACGAAAAATCAAAAAATTAAATTCCGCCAGCACTCTTGACCACCCACCCCCTTTTTGCCTGAGGACGGATTTTTTAATTTTTCGAAAAATACGGACGACCCCTAACGTGCAAAAATCTCACCAGCACTGGTTGACAAAGTGCGGATAGACAGAAAAATGAGACAGAAAAATGAGACAGACAGAGACAGACAGGCAGACAGACAGAGACAGACAGGCAGACAGACACACCGGCAGACAGATACACAGGCAGACAGACAAAAGTCGCAGAGTGAAGACTGACCTTTGGTTTCCACGGCTGCAATGCACTTCTCCACAAACGCCACTTGAGAGCCTGGCGCTAAGACTATGGCGAAGAGGTAGCAATCACATCAGCATGAAGATATATCAATTTTTGTAAACCGTGTCATCACTCGGGAAATGATATATCGATTTTTGTAAACCGTGTCATCACTCGGGAAATAATAACAATGTCACAAAATTAAAGCAAAGATCAGAACCCTTTTTGACTTGGGAACACTTTGAGTGAACTTAGAATGAAAACCAAGTCAAGTGTCGAGTCAAGTCGGCGGGACAGCATGAGCTCCAGTGTGGGGAGCAAATCCTTTTCTAATAATCATCGCCGAAATCGCAACCACTATTTCGTAGCAAGACGGTAGTATGACAAAACCATTTCATTTAATGGTCAGTGATATGGGTGACATGGGTGAATACAGCTGCACAGCATCCTGAGTGCCATGGGTGAATACAGCTGCACAGCATCCTGAGTGACATGGTTAAATAGTACTGAATATGGCTGTACAGCATCATGGCTAGCTCAACTTACTTCCGCTGGACTTATCACCAGGTCTCTTCATGCTGTCAATCATCATGTAGTCCTGAGAAGACATTGAAACAAGCATAGAAAAGCCATGAGCTCCAAAGTACATAGCAGTCTTCAGAGAAGAGCAATACCACCTGTAACTTCGCACATCCATCGCCTAGAATTGACAGCCTGTCTGAACTGAAACGACACTGCATCAACCGGTAGCGTGCTTGTAGTCACAATGACGCGGCAACTGATGTTTACCAGAGTTTGATAGTTCCCATTACAAAGACCTAGTCCTCATATCTAGGCAGTGCTTTCGTCGAGAGATTTGATCGTATCAAGTTGCAAATAGAGGATGTAGGGAAACTCAAGGATCCAGCAAATTCACCAGCCCTAATGGCGTGTTGCTTGCCCTCACAGGTTCTCGTCCATCTAGCACTTCCATCCACAGCGTCCGGTCCTTGTTGGTGACCGCTTGCAGTGTGTAAACCCTACACGGCGAACGGACACCACACAACACAAGCATATATACACAGAGTTATTATAAAAAGCTGGAGCATACACAAGAATCTTGCACAGCTAATTCTGTCAAAGGGAACACTCTGACAAGGCGACCCTGTCCCAATGGCTGAGCACTAGAGCCAAGACCAAAGAGTGGCACCCCTAGTCAATGGATAAGTCGATAACCTGTGCACGAGGGGACCTCATTTCAGGGATCCAGTGAGCGATCACTGAGCTTACCGGTATGCTGTTTTCCCTAAGTTGTTTCTTTTCATGTGGAGGCAGTTTACTCTTTCAAGGCTTGGTACCGGACAACTGATCAGGAGTTTTTCTCAGGTTCTCCACTCAACACAAGCCTTGTGATACTGTACTAGTAAGGAACACGTTCAATGTTGATCCTAAGCGAGTTGGAGTAGAACACAAATGCGAGAAAAGGTAATCAAGCTGCAAACTGTGATGCGCGCGCGCACACACACACACACACACACACACACACACAAACCGGGAGTGTACAGAGACTCCACAACATGACAATGCATGACCTAAATCTTACTTATCCCCGGCTGTTAGATCGAAGCAGAAGCGCTTCTCAATTGACTCCGTTGGTCGCCTACATGCAAAGGATAAAAACCACAGCAGAATGCCACAACATGTGCATTTACAGGCATTCAAAGCCGGAACATGCGGCTTGTAATGTTATCACAATAGGCCGCCTACAATATAAAAAAACACACGCACACACCTGGTCCTGTCCTGGTATACACTGCCATGTAGGTCACGTGTTTCTCGTTGAGCGAGACGGAGACGAGAGGAGACATGAGCGTTGGTGACGGGATAAGTCGTTTCGCCTTTTGAAACGCCTCAGGCAATTCTGACATTGCAATTGGAACTTGTCCCTTTCATCAGCAGTTGGGCGCCTGGTGGATCGGTTGCAGTTGTGGATAGCAAAGCCCCGGATCGACTTACAGCAGCGTTCACAAATGGGACAGTGAGCGGTACAGCACGGTTTCCGAATACATAGGCGTACAGGTGAAGAGCTTGTGGCATTGGCAACATTCGGGGCAGAATTGGACTGGACACAGCGATGGACTGCAATGCCACCCGCACTCCGAAACCATCGGTGACACTGGGAGCACTGGCGGCTGTTGGCTTGCTGCTGGACTGGTTTACGCCGTTCCATGATGCACTTGTGGCGGGCGATATCTTGCTGCCGAGCAAATGCACGCCGGCACACCTCGCAGACTATCTCCCGAGCCGGTTTCTGAGCTGGTTGTATTGCTCGATAAGCTTGCCGCCACTCAGATCGTTCCTGCGTTGTGTCAAACCATGACTCGTCGGCGATGTTTATTCGTCGCAGGTCGACCCTAATTGCGTCTCGCCATCGTTTCCGCGGGCCACACGCTGGGCGTGGTGGCAACAATGTGCCAAACAACAACATCCGCGGCATCCGCTCCTCAGGCATGCGTACCACGTGCCCAAGCCATTCCAGTCTTCTCTGCATGAGGCGGTCGGGGATATCCAGTGGGTTTGCTGCATTCCATGTTTTCAGAATGGTGTCCTTGGCTATCTTCAAGTCCCACACATCCCGCTGTGCAACACTCATGATGGAAAGAAGCGACCGGTAGTAGAAGGTCGTGATCCGTTGCACATCACTTTGCAGCGGTACCCACGTCTCCGCACAATAGAGCAGTAAGGACAGAACACAGGCCTCGAAAACCAGACGCTTGGTGCGCAGAGAGAGATTGTGGTCATTGAAGACAGCATGACGGAGCGCTCCAAAAGCACGGGAGGCAGATGAAACACGGGTCGATACATCTTTGTGAGATCGGCCAGAATCATGGATAACAGCACCCAGGTATCGCACACACACACTCACACAAACTGGGCCACAATTTGCCCATCCTGAACACAGACAGTCACCCCAACACACAACCTGGACCCTACGGACCCTACTACACAGGTGGGTAGCGCTATGGTATCTCAACGCCCGTCTTTGCAGTAAGCAGCTTCTGTCACGTCCAGTCTGAGTAAATTCATAGCCACACTGCTGAAGTCACACGTGCTGCATTCATCATACAGCCTGAACAGCACTCACCACTCTACAAACATATCAAGCATATCCCTTTACCCGGTGTTTCCAACCAGTTCATCAATTGATCATTACCGCACTCTAGCAAAAGACTAAGGGACCCGCCCTGCTACGGGGCTGACCTACCTAGTACAGGAATCCAACTTGAATGTCTCCGGATTGGACTAAAGAGGACACAGTCAGTCACACAAGACCATAGGCATGCGTTCACACCGGTACACATCACACAGCACACCCATGTACATATGTACGTACGAACACGAATCCACACACACACACACACACACACACACACACACACACACACACACACACACACACACGCGCACACACACACACACACACACACACACACACACGGTCACGTCACAGTCTCTTTCCGCCCTTTTCAACCGCTGCTTGCTGTCCAGTACTCAGCCCAGGGAGTGGAAATCTGCCGTTGTTGTACCTGTGTTCAAGGGAAAAGGTAATCCTTCTCACCCAGTCAATTACCGTCCTATATCGCTGTTAAATGCAGTTGCCAAATTGTATGAGTCTATGATTAGCCGTCAGTTTTACTCGTTTGTTGAGAGCCATAAAATTATCAGTTCCAGCCAGTTTGGCTTTTGTCGAAAGAGGTCAACAGTTGACCAATTGGTACAGCTTACCTCAATTGTTTCGCGTGCATTTGACTCTAAGTCTTCTTGTGACCAGCTGTTCCTTGATTTTTCTAAGGCCTTTGACAGAGTTAGTCATCATTTAGTTATTCAATCTGTTTCAGGTTGGTGTTCTCTTTCTGCCTGTTCTTGGGTGAAGGACTTTATCAGTGATCGTAGTATTTGCGTTCGCATTGGCCAAACTCTTTCTGACCCTTTGCCCATCACCGCTGGCGTACCCCAAGGTTCCCATCTCGGCCCGCTTCTTTTTAACCTGTGCATCAACTCCTTTCCTGATGCCCCTGCTTCTAGTACCCTATCCCTTTTTGCTGATGACTCTAATTTAATTCTTGTTTCTCCAGCAAACACCTCACTTCCTATCCATCATGCATTGCTCCAGACTGACATTGATAAGTGTTGTCAATGGTCATCAGCTACTGCCATGACGTTTAACACCAGTAAATGCGTCCACCTACCCTTTCAAAAATATGCATTAGCCCCCGGCCCGTCATCCCCCTTGACAATGAACGGTGTGCCTATTCAGAAAGGTGATAGCCACTGTCATCTCGGCGTGACTATCACTCCTTCACTAAATTTTTCTGACCATATAAAATCTATCACCCACAAGTTTCGCAGTCGTGTTTTTCTGTTGCGCCATATGGCCCATTTCCTTTCTGCTTCAACCGTGAATTTGCTCTACAAGTGTTACGTACGACCACTGTTAGAATACGCAGTCCCTGTCTGGTCATTCGCCGTATCCCATTCAGATTCGCTTACGTTAGACCGACTGCAAGCCGTTGCTGCTCGTTCATATCTGCTTTGTAAGACCCGGCACCCTCCTGAGTGGGAAACCCCGAAGCAGATTCTTAATCGTACTTGTGACTGGTCATCCCTGAAGTGGCGTCGTCAGATTCTGTCCTTGCTGTATTTTCATCATGTGTTTTACCAGTTTCCGTCTTTGCTAATTCGTTTCAAATTCAATGTATCCCTTAGTTGTCGTCACCCGTCCTCTATAGTTTTACCTCGTTCTGGCGCCCATTTCCTTAAATCCCCTCTCTTCAGTTTATCTGTGGAATGGAACAAACTTCCAGAACACATCCGCTGCGTTCAGTCCTCTGTCAATTTTCGCATTGCTCTAAAGGCTCATTACTCTCAGCATAGATATTCTCTGACTGGAATTCCGAACTTTTCCGTTTGAGAAATTTTTTTTCCTTGAAATTAATCCTTGCTGGGTTTTTTTTCATCTAAATGTCCCGCTATTATCTGCAGAGGTGATTTCTTCCCTCGTCGATTTCTTTCCTGCTTTTATACCTCGATATTTAGGTACTTGTTTCCCTTCTTCCCATGCTTCATCTTCCACTCTCCTCTCCCCATTTCCCCATTTTTCTTGCGATATTTATGTGGGAGACTTCCGTGATAAGCATCCATTTGCTTTTGGAGAATCCTTTTAAATAAATACAATACAATACACACACGCACATAATCATGTACTTCCTCCGTTAACAAAAACTCCGTGATGGATTTTTGAGGGGCTGATTTGGGCACAAGCTGCCGTGAAATGAGTCGCAATCACTTTCTTGGCCTTCCCTGGCATGCCATGAAAGAGGTACGATGCAAGGAAAGCGACCTTTCACAACAAGCCGAGCGGAATCGATGGTTGCGCTGTGGAAACATAGGTGATGACAGTCATGGCGAGTGAAACTGAAATACCACTTCTCCGAGGTGATATTGCGCTGCTTGGCCTCTCTACCACTTTAGCACTAAGTAAGTTGGAGAGCGATAGACAGCGATAAAACGGAGCAGCGAGTCCACACAAAGAGCGAGTGAACAAGGAGCTGCTCCGATTGCACGGCTCAATGAAAATAATACTGAACTCAAGTTCTTGTTCAACCTGCGCAAAGCCCAGATTCGAATGCTGATCACCGTGTACATGTATTCTTTCAGAAGTCTGACGTCCGATGCGAGTCTCATGGCTAAAATTCGACTGGACTTGCTAGCCGCTGCCGTTCAGTGCTGGCAGGGGTATCCATTAGAGAAAATGGAATCAGTTCGGCTGTGCCTTTACTCCTAGTTTCGCGGAGTTCTGGAGAGCGAAGATGAAACCAGGGAGTCGTAAAATATTTTTCCCAACTCCCTGGTGGAAACGAGTAATCGCCATCGCGGCGGATCACGCAGCTTGAAAGCCAACTTACTTGAACGACGGCGACATCAAGGTCAGCGGAGTGTGATCAAAGAAGCCGAGGCAAGGCTGAAACGAGCTGAACAACGACTCGAGAGAGATGACGACTCGCGGGCAGCAGATGACGACTCGCGTGCAGCAGATGCCAACAGCGACGCAGGTCAAAAATTAGTCGAGCGAAAGCGACGCTAACTGAACTCTCTGCTCATTCCGCCAACAGTTTATCTTGTAAAGACGCTGTGCATAGGCTGAATCACCTTTGTCCAGTGATTTGCAGTCGATACAACTGTTCTTGACCTGTTCTAAGCGTTTTCATATCCATCAAAATCCATCACGAAGTTTTTGTTAACGGAGGAAGTACACACATACAGATACAGGCACAAATTGATGATTACATTAGTCCAGTTCGCCTGCCAGATCCAGTAACGTACTACAGAAACACATCAAAATGTATTCAGTTTTACGGATATTATACAACTTTAGCAAACAACAGTAACGCTATTTTTACGGTACTCGTACCTTGATCATCCAAATAGCGTTGAAGCTGCAGCGTAAAAACGTTATGGGGGCTGATTTATCGTTGTGACCAACGGTACGTTTTTTGGCCAAATAATGCATAGTCCGTACGCATTTCACCTTGTATCACGTATATGGTGATATAAATGGTTGTACCGCGCGAAATAAAAGCTATTCTCGTGGCAACAGCGTACTAAAAATAGCGTGCATCTTGCTAAAGGTCGACCCAAATCACGGTATTTCGCCCCTTACGGTAATACCGTTACAACATAATGTTTTCGCTAAGGGTGTCTATTAACTCCCATAACCCACCTCATGTCCCCTGATGATACTTCCTTCATCCATACATTCCTTATCGACACTCATTCCATATTGACAATGGCTCCAGAAAACACTAATCTATATTGCGAAAACGTAAGCATGCCATTCCATATCATACAAGAGGATCATTACTGAACAAGTAATGCCTATTTCTAGGTCTAGCTCACCATCTTTCCTTGCTGCTGATTGTACGGGAACATGACAAACAGGCCTTCATCCTTGATAAACTGGCAGTAATGCTTGATAGATTGTGTGCCAAGTCCACCTACAGCAATATCAACAACACATGTGCATGGACCGGGAATACATACCATGGTCAGTGATTTCACAGCTCTGGAAACAGAAGCAGATGGAGAGACCGACTGCAAAGGCCGGGGTACAGTACAGTCAACTTCGCTTATAACGACGCTCGGCGCGGCATCAAAAAGGTGTCCTTATTCGTGAAGTGTCGTTATACCTGTCACGTCCTGGACGTGACCCTCGCGGTTTGACAGATCTTGTGACAGCAGGATCTGTGTAGTGTGCAGCTCTGTGATTGAGCTGTCACAATCTATACTATCACGTGGTTTGGCCAGTGTCTTGTCCCACGTGTTGAGCATGTAGGTTGAGCGGCACGCGCTGTTCCGCGTAGGTGTCATGCTGTTTAGGTGTGATATCCCACGTTGGTGTCATGTCTCTTGGACATGACACATCGTATGATTCACCGCCGGAACCTGGTCAGGTAGGTTCTCGCGTGGAATGTTCTAGGTATGTTCCAGGAAGTTCTTGACTTCCTGGAAATGTACGCTCTAGGCTTCATGCAAGATCATGTGACTGAGAAGTCCTATTGATTTCCATGATCCCTTTCGCGCTTCGTGCAAGACACGAAGGGCCGTGCGCAAAAGAATGAGAGCTGAGTGCAGAAGAATGAGAGCTGAGTGCAGAAGAATGAGAGCTGAGTGCAGAAGAACGAGAGGCGTGCGCAAAAGAGCGGGGAACCACGCGCAAAATGAAGGTGCAAAAGGAAGGCGTGGCAAGCGCGGTACAGCGACGCCGCGGTGACCCGCGAAGGGCCCGCCGGTGAAGTTCCCGGAAAAGGGACGCGGATATGCAACAACATCCCGCCGGAGTTACGCTGTTCTATCACGTCGGGTGAGCGGGCTCCCCGACGTGATCCATATAATTCCAAGATTTCCGCGGAGACGTAGGTGAGCGGGCTCCCTACGTCCCGATCCGGCCTTTTGCTCCGTTTGTGCTAATTATTTATTGTCGTTTTCGTTATTGAACTATTGATCTTTTGCTGTTTCCTTGCCATGCATGCGTTGTCAAACCTGTATTGTTTGCCGATTTCTAAGAACTATCACGCACCGTGCTTTGCACGACTTCTCCATCTCGTCTTTGGTGCATAAAAGAACAAATGTCACCTCATAACAATCACAATTAACTCTCTCCCGAACTTGAGAAATACACTGAGTCTCTCAGATCCTCTACTGGTTGTCTTCTCTTCGTGTGCTAACCAAGGTGAGCAGAACACTAAGTTGGGTCGTCGACTATATTGGTCGACCGCCTGGCGGTTGGATTTGGTTGGGTTATGAGCGATCATGACAGGCAACGAACCTCGCAGGGATGCGACATTTGGTGCTGTGACCAGGATCCCAACGTCTGTGTTCTCTGTTTGACCTGGTTGTTGTAGATGCCACCCAAACGGAACAACCCGCCTACAGACAATTTGCGTGAGCTGCACGAGGCGCTCGCACAGTCGGCCGCCGCCCTGGAGGCCATGCGGCAGTTTAATTCAGCGAGGGTGATCCGTCGCTTACAGCAAGGGCTGACGCAGCTGCATTCGGCCATTAGGTCACTCAACGCGGCAGTCGAACCGTCTCGCAGTTCATCGCCAGGCCCCGTGAATTACCGGCAGAGGGATGGTGCACGGTCCCCGGGGCCCTCTCCCAAACGGCCATGCCGTGGGGAAGAGGGGGTCCCCAGGACCAGTCGGAACAACAGCGTCGAGCGTCCACGCTCGGTGTTGGCGGCGACAACGCCGGGACGGCCGCCGGCCAAACCGGTTCACCACCCTGCCAAAGACCGGCACACGAAGGCTACCGTGGCCGCAGCGGGAGAGGCGGCCCCAAAGCCGCCTCCTCCTGCTGTCGCGGCGGAGCGCGAGGAACAAATGAGACGGAGAGAGGCGGAACTGGCGACGGCCAAGGCTGAAGCCCTGGTCGAGGAAAATTTGAAGGCGGCAGAGGAAAGGATGATGGAGGACTGATTTCATTATTCACCCTCATATTCATAATCTCAATCCTGAACCGTGGCCAGATGGCACAAAAATCAAACTGCTCGTGTTCTGTGGGTGTGCTAAAAGACAAGGAAGTTTTTACTTCCGTGGTCTTGTGGAAATTAGCATGCAGGGACATCAGGGGTTGAGGCGGGAATCCTTTGGGCAGCTGCATAATATTCGAATGCATATATGGGTGACAGTGATAATAACACAGCAGAGAGGCGGGTAGAGAGTGTAATGGTATTCAACAAGTTACGATCAGGCCAGACTTGTAGGACACAGTCTAGTCTGTACGGGACGGAGTTAGTGCATGTAGTCTCTACATATGATTTTTGCACGCGCACGCGGCCTAAAAAGCACGTGCGCCAGCAGGAAGATGGAACTACACCGTAGTACACGCACGAAAAGCGTGTGATAGGGTGGCTGAGCCAGGAAACTGTCGGCAGCCCCGGAACCAAATAGGGCTCAAGTACTAGTGCGTACCTGTACTTCGGACCTAAGCGCCAGCTCGGCGGTAGCGCGGTGATTCGAGACCACCACTACTGGCGCACGGAGAATCCTAAATACAGCAGGTTGACTGTACCCCGCACGCAGAGGTGCGAAAACGGCCCAGCTCAGGCGCGGCCGTTCCGCATGCACGTGTCAAAAACTTCGGGTCCATTAGTTCAATCTGATGGGGGGTCCCGAGGCCAGTGCAGTGTGCCATAAGAAGCTGTCACCGGAGTGCGAAGTCCGCGACACAGCCGGTGGTTGTGAGCACGTCGACTTGCGCCGATTCCAGTACGCGTACATAAATAAGGGCCTGCGGTCCACCAGCATGTATGCGTGACGCGACGTCTGGGACGACGTCGATAACGGGTTTTGGAGCAAGCCATACCAGGCTCCTCCAAAGAACGAGGAGATAACAGCTAGTTTCCGACAACTAGCCTTATGCCACGTAGGCCGACGCCGACGGCGCAGCACGGGTCACCATGGTGACGCGCAATCTTAGGCCACGTCAGCTAGGTCTGGGTACGTGCTCGACGCTGATTGGTCGAATATCCTGCTGGTGGGGAATAAAAGGAGGTGCCGAGGACAGAATTCGCTCAGTTGTCTTCAGCCCTCCTGAAGATCGCGACAAGCTCTGAGCAAGCTAGTGGCCATCTTCTTGGTTGTCAAGAAACTTCTTGAAGCAGTGCTTTAAGTTTGTCTTGTTCTTGAGGTCTTGGTTCTAAAAATGAATCAACGCCAGAACCCTGCTGCAGCCGCTCCGCCGGCCCCAGCACAAGCCGTGCGACCGGCTGTGATGCCGGAAGCATTTAACGGCACAGGAGATTGGGTGGAGTACCTAGAGTACTTCAACCAGTGTGCAGCCGTGAATGGCTGGAACAATGCACAGCGCGCACAATTCCTAGCCGTACGGCTGCGAGACGCCGCACAGAAATTTCTCGCCTCAATTCCGGCCGCACGTCGGGCGGACTGGGACGATCTGGTGGCAGATCTCAATGATAGGTTTGCACCGGCCGGCATAGCGCGGCAGTACAAATCTATGTTTAGAAATCGGCGACGACGCGGCAATGAAGATTTCGGTCGCCTCGCGGACGAATTACGACAGCTGGTAGGGCGGGCATATCCACTTATGCCCGGACCTGTCCAGGAGGAACTGGTCCGGGACCAGTTCATCGATGCAGTTACGCCTAACGCCTTGCGCTTGCGTCTGCAAGAGAATGCACCAGGCACGATCCAGGCGGCGGTTACTATGGCTAACCACCTGGAACGGGTTTGGCAGAAGGAAGACGCTGAGAAGTCTTCTCGACTGCCCCGCACCTTTGAATTAGGTCCGGAGCAGTTGGTTACCGCAGCAGTGGAGCCAAGGGGCCTGAGTCCCGAGGTAGAAGCCTTAACCAAGGTCGTAGCACGGTTGGCCGAACAAGTGGAGCGTAGCCTCCAGGTTCAACAAACCGTCCAGCCACCACCAGGGGCATGTTGGGCATGTGGCCGCATGGGTCACTTCCGCTCCACCTGCCCCGAATTGAATCAGAGGCCACGGGCCCCTGCGGCACGTGGGCCTGGACCCCGTTATCAATCCCGTCCTCGACGGGAGGGAAACGGGCAGTGACCGGAGACGGGGACCAAGTCTCCGGTCAGGATTATGACGGAGGTCCAATCCCGAGCATCAAGGTACCGAATGTTCAGGAGGATGAGGGACGATTGGAACTCGTCGCTGCTCTGGGACGAGCAGCGGAGAACCATAATGGAATGATGATAGATGGCGCGGCCAACGGTATACCAGTCACCATGCTGGTAGATACTGGGTCGGCGGTCAGTTTGATGTCGGAAGCCCTGTTCCGGGATTTGGGATACCAATTGGATGATCTCGAACCCCCGAACAGTGACATCACATTTTGTGGGGCGGATGGGCAGAGGCTCGATGTATGCGGCAAGGTAGTCGCTTGCCTCACTTTGCGTAGCGCAACATGTTGGCACGCTACGGCGGTGGTTCGTGGACTCCACTATCCTTGCCTTATCGGTCGGGATGTGTTGTGCCGAATCCCGTGCGCGATCACGTCCGCGAACGGTAGTTTGCACTTTCAGGCCGATAAAGCCGAAGTGTCGACACTTGACACGGAAGACGTTTGCAAAGTTCACGTTCTCCGTTTACGGAAACGTGTAACCATACCCCCTCTCTCAGAGATTACGGTTAACGCCGTGATCGAAGGAGATGGCGGTGTGCCGCCCTGTGCCATTACGGAACCTGACGGCTGCCTGAGGGGGCCTGATGATGTTATGTTGGCCTACGCATTGGTATGTCCAACGGAAGACGGCGTTCCCGTCCGAGTTTTGAACTGCTCGGAGCAGTGTGTGTCTCTGGGACGAGGCGCTCGGATCGGCCGTCTGCAACCAGTTTGCGCGGTGGGTTGCGTGAGCAACGAAGAAGGAGGGGACGGTGGTGACCATACAGGCCAAGAGGATGTGATTCCTGGGGCCGAAGAAGTATGGTCTGCACTTCATATTGGACGAGGTCCTAGAAGTGGAAAGGCTGTGGTGGGGGAGGATGATTTGAATCCGGACCCCACGGGCACAGTGTTGGCTGACCAGGGGACGCCCTGTGTCGAGGAGCCGGGTAGGCGAGACTCATCTGGGGAGGATGAGTTGTTGCGCCTGAGGTCCCTCGTTGCTCGCTATCGGAAGGTATTCGCTATGAGCTCGGCCGAGCTGGGGCGTACTTCGGTGCTCCACCATCGGATCGAGACTAATGGACGAGGTCCAATTTTCCAAGCCGCACGGCGCTTGCCGTGGGCTTCACGAGAGTCCGCCCGTCAGTTGGTTGAGGACATGAAGGCTCAGGCTGTGGTTGAAGATTCCTGCAGTCCTTGGTCTTCACCGATTGTCCTTGTCCAGAAGAAAGATGGGTCGACTCGGTTCTGTGTGGATTACAGGAAGTTGAACGCGGTTACGGAACGGGATCCATATCCTCTTCCGCGCATCGATGATACCCTCGACGCTCTCAACGGGTCTACGTATTTCTCGACCCTTGACTTGTGTTCAGGCTATCATCAGCTGCCAATGGCGGGTGGTGACAAGGAGAAAACTGCTTTCTCGACTCCCGACGGGCACTACCAGTTCACGGTTATGCCGTTCGGAGTCTGCAATGGCCCTAGTTCTTTCCAACGGCTCATGAGCATTGTGTTGAAGGACTATCAGTGGCAGATTTGTCTGGTTTACCTCGATGATATCATCGTGTTCAGCCGGACATTTGCCGAACACCTCGAACGGTTAGAGGCTGTCTTTCAACGTCTGTTGGAGGCAAACCTACGTCTCAAACCCTCGAAATGTTTCCTCCTGCGGCGACAGGTGGAATTCTTGGGACACGTCGTGTCTGATGAAGGCGTGGGCACTGATCCCGCCAAAATCCAACGGATTGTGGCGTGGGGCAGGCCGGCGAATGTTGGAGAGGTGCGTGCATTTCTCGGGTTTTGCGGCTATTACAGAAGGTTCATTCGTGCCTTCTCAACCGTGGCACGACCCTTGACTGATTTGACCCGGCAAGACAATTCTTTTGTCTGGTCCGACCAGTGTGAGTCCACTTTTGTGGCTCTGAAAGAACATTTCACTCGTGCACCTATCTTGGCTTACCCCAGGTATGGTCACGATGCGCCACCGTTCATTGTGGACGTGGATGCAAGTGGTACTGGTTTGGGCGCTGTTTTGTCACAACTTGACGAAAACGGAACTGAACGGCCAATCGCGTACGCGAGCAGGGTGACCTCTGCCGCGGAACGCCGGTATGCCTCTACCAAAAGCGAGCTGCTTGGGGTAGTGTGGGCATTCAAACATTTTCGCTGCTATTTGCTGGGGAAACATTTTCTGGTCCGCACGGATCACAAAGCGTTACAGCATTTGCAGACTTTCAAAGATCCACCGGCGATTATCGCTCGTTGGATGGAATTTTTGAGTCAGTTTGACTTTGACGTGCAGTATCGCCAGGGCCGTGCCCACGCGAATGCCGATGGGCTATCCCGACAGACGTTGCAGCCTGTGGCTGTGGCTGCCGTTTCAGTATCGCAGCTTCCAACTCTGTTCGTCCAACGACGAAACTGGTCACTTGCCGATTGGGCTGCGGCCCAGCAAGCCGATCCTGACCTCGCGCGTCTGCGTGAGTGGCTGACAGCATGTCCTGCCGACCCTGATCTGAGGGGTGTGAGCCCTGACCTCCGTAAGTTTTGGCGAGGACGCCAATGTCTTGTTTTACGGGAGGGTGTGGTTGGTCGGACATGGAGTGGGGATCCAAACAATTTGGAATCCACAACATTTCAAATTTTGGTGCCCGTAGCAATACGTCCCAAAATTTTGGAAGAATACCACGACTACTTGGGTCATGTGGGAATGCAACGAACGCTGACTCAGCTTCGGACTAAATTCTACTGGCACCAAATGAAACGTGATGTAGTGGATTGGGTGGGTACTTGTGGGTCGTGCTCTAGAAGGTCTAGACCAGTCGGTCGTGGACATGGAGCACCCTTGCAGGTCACCTGGAATGGGTACCCGTTTGAACGGATCGCCATGGATTTGATTCCAGGGCTCCCGGAAACAGCAAGTGGCAATAAGCATATCCTAGTGGTTATTGACTACTTTACTAAGTGGGTTGAGGCGTATCCATTACCAACAATGGATGCCCTGAGTATTGCCTCTGTATTCGTGGGTGAGTTTGTGTCCCGTTTTGGGGCACCCGAAAGCTTACACACTGATCAGGGTCGCAACTTTGATTCAAAGTTGTTCAAAGATGTGTGCACTCTTCTTGGCATCAAGAAGACACGTACTACTGCGTATCACCCTGCGGGGGATGGGCTTGTTGAACGGTTCAACCAAACGCTCGAGCGTCTGCTCTCGCATTACGTTGACCAAAATCAGAGGAATTGGGATGTGCAGTTGCCGGCAGTGCTAATGGCATACCGCGCCACTGAGCAATCCAGTACCGGGTACACACCAGCGTATCTCCTGTTTGGGCGCGAACTGTGTTTGCCGCAGGACGTCGCGTACGGCCTTCCTCGTGCTGAGGGGGTTACTGAGCCAGCGCACGCAAAGAGTTTGCGTGAACGTTTGGCTGAGG